TTGTTTAGAGCGTACAGTATCTCGAAAGATTTTGTCAATATGTGCCCATATTTGTATACATATATGCTACTTGTATGTGTACACGTACACATCCACGTATAATTTATATATTTTGCATGTGGATGTATATATTCCTACGTATCTGTGTATACACCTATAGGTGCATATATATGTATATATACAGGTGTGTATATAGGCACATATATTTTAAATGCCACTCATTGCCTTTGTTACATGCAATTTTTAATTTTTTATTATTTCTTCTGTTACACGCTCACCTGAAAGTATCACTTAACTTAGGATTTGACACCTTTACCCTGCCGCAGCGACAGGCAGGTGTCTCTTGTGGAGTGCTTAGTAGTTTGCTGGTTTGAGTAAGCACGTTGACAGATATTTTGATCAGACATTTATTTCTATCTTGTAACTGTTTTGCTGATTATCATGGGGTTGATTTTTGTATACTCTCTTCGAATACACTGCAAGCAAATTAGTAGCAGAATCACACAGCATCACTGGGTGGTTGAGATTAGCAGACACCTCTGGAGATCCTGCAGTCCTGCTGCTCCAGCAGGTCCAGCCCTTTTGCTCTAGCAGTATCAGGTACAGCAGGCTGCCCAGGATGGTGTCCAGTCGAGTTCAAGTGTGTCGAATAATGGAGACTCCACAACCTCTCTGGGTAGCTTGTTCCAGTGTTTGACCACTCTTACAGGATAGAAACATTTTTCTTATGTTTAACTGGGATTTCATGTGTTTTTTCTTTGTGCCCACTGCCTCTTTTCCAGTCTCTGGGCACCACTGAGAAGAGTCTGTCTGCATCTTCTTTACAGACTCCCATCAGATATTTATACATATTGGTAATATCCCCATGAGCTTTCCCTTCTCCAAGCTGAACAGCCCCAGCTTTCCCAGCCCCTTAATGTATGGCAGATGCTCCAATCCTTTCATCATCTTTGTGGTCCTTCGCTGGACTTACTCTGGTATGTCCATGTCTCAGAACTGGACACAGTACCCACGTGTGTCTTACCACGTCTGAATAGAACAGAGGGATCACCTTGCTCCCCCTGCTGGCAATGCTTTTCTCAGTGCAGCTCAGGATAACATTGCCCTTTACCACAAGGGCACGTTACTGGCTCATGGTGAACCTGGTGTCCACCAGGATCCCCAGGGCATTTTCTGACAAGCTGCTTTCCAGCTGGTCACCCCCCAGCCTGTGCTAGTACATGGGGTTATTACTCCCCCTGGGGCAGTAATTTGTCCTTCTCTTTGTTGAACTTAATGAGGTTCCTGTCAGCCCATTTGTCCAGCCTATCAAGGTGTCCTGGTTTGAGGTAAAACAGGACCAGTTTTGTTCAGTAACTTTACTTCTTAGCTGGGCCTCTTCTAACTACTGAAAATGGCTGCATACTGTGCAGATTTTTGCTTTCCTAACCCTATATCTGCATGCTTAGGCAATGACTCTAAGTTCCTCCTGGTCACCTGTCCCTGCTTCTACATCTTGTATCCTTCCTCTTTCATTTGAGTTTATTCAGGGGAGATCCTTGTTCATACATGCAGGCCTCCTGTTACCTTTGCTTGATTTCTTGCTCATTGGAATGGACCATGATTGATCTTGGATGAAGTGATCCTTGAAAATCAACTAGCTCTCATGGGCCATTCTTCTCTCCAGACCAGTATTACACTGGATTCTTCCAAGCAGGTTCCTGAAAATGTGCAAGTCTGCTCTCCTGAAATCCAGGGTTGTGATCCTGCTTTTTGCCTTTCTCCCTCCTCTCAGGATCCTGAACTCCTGTCATCTCAAGGTTGCTGCAGACAAAGATGCTCTTGGCCTTTACGTCCCTGACCAGTTCTTCCTTGTAAGTTATCATCAAAGCACTTCAGAAACCTCCTGGATTGCTTGTGCCCTGCTGTGTTATCCCTCCAGTGTATGCTGGGGTGATTTAAGTCCCTCATGAAGACAAGGGCCTTCAAACATGAATCTTCTTCCAGTTTTCTGAAGAGGACTTCACTCTTCTTCCTGATCAGACAGGATCAGCAGGCAGCCACCATGTTATCTGCATTGGTCTGCCTACACCTGACCCACGTGCTCTCAGCTGGCTCATTGTCCATCGCATGGCAGAGTTCCATCCACTTAGACTGCTCTTTCAAATAAAGGACAACTTCTTGCCATCCCGGGCTGTCCTTCTTACAGAGCCTGTATCCAGGCATGGCAGCACTCCAGTCATGTGTGAGTTATCCCGCCTTGTCTCCATGATCCCAATGACCCTGAAATCGCAGACGGATCTCTGATTCCTCCTGTCATCCTGCACGGGAACAGGCTGTGTGCATTTGAAGAACAACTTCAGATGGGCACACGGTTGTGCTTATTTCGCAAGATGACTCTTAAGACCCTCTCCCATACTGATGGATGTCCTGTCAGCACTCCTATATTTATGTGCATACGCTTGAGGTGGTCCTTCCTGAGGCTTGAATTGTTCATCACAAAGTCTTTCCTGTCCACACCAACCTGTGCCCTTTACTTGCTAGCCCGGGCCACAGCTCCCTCACTTGTTACTTGGTCAACATCTCTGTCCCCCACCATTCCTAGTTTAAAGCTTCTCTCACCAAGTTGGCTTCTCTGTTATCAAAGGTGCTTCATTCTGTGAATTTATTTGTAGTGCACCATTGGTGCTGAATAGTTCCTGGTAAGATTGAGCATCATTTCCTCCTTCTTGGTTAACAATGAAATAAAAGAAGGTTCCCTGTGTGGATTTACAATGTAAAAATAGTACCTCATTCATTAAAGATGATAAAAGCAGCTGTAGCATACAATTGCAAGTTAAGTACAGTGGTTGTATATTTCTGTGTGTCAAGAATTTTTCGGATTGCTACTATTTTGGTTTGTATAACTTTTCACTCAAAAAAGAAAAAGCAAGTTAGGATATGTGCATGAAGAAATAAAGTCTGATTTTAAAAATGTGGCATATTGGAACTGTGATTGTGTTTCCTTATGTTTAAAAGGCCTTGAATTTAACATGAGCAAACATTAACCATGTGTTCTAACTGCTGCAGTTCTTGTGTAGCTGCAAGGTTTAGCTCCCCTCCAACCCCTCCTCTTTAGGGTATAACTCAAAGCCTGATAAAGTCAACAAAAAAGCTTCCCATTGACCTTAATACACTTTGTGGGCAGACCATTAGAGAACACATAATACTGTGCGTTCTCAGGTGACAGACAGATAACTGCATTGATGTTTGCATACAAATTAAAGAGCAGCAATATAGCAGAGTGGTCTTGGCAACAGTTACTACCAACATTTCCAACAGTATCTGAGGATTGAACCTTATCCCATGTTTTCCCCTTCCACAACAAAATGAAGATCTGATTGGAGAACCTGTGCAAAATTAATATCATCTGTGTTTTAACTACAGTGCAAAAATGTCTCAGTTTCTACTATATATTCACAGTAAGGGAAATGAAATGAGTGCTTGTTTGGAAGCCTGTTGTACAGGGTGTTGGAAAGTGCTAGTTTGTCACTATGTCCTTATTTCTGCTGCTGTGCTTGTGAACAGTATTAAATTAGTACATATGAAATACATACTGCAGTTGTACTTTGGTTTTGTTACATAAAGAGTCTTTAATGCACCTCTACCATGGTTAATTTTGGGGAGCTACTTTGCATCTCATTGAGAACAGTGGGAGTTAAAACTTTTAAGTAAGTACGTCCTTAAGTGTTCTCCTGTATTGGCCTGTTAACAGGCTTTATTAAATAGTGCTTTTTAAACAACATTAAGTTGTCTGAATGTGCTATTGTGGTACGTATAATTTCAATTTTTATATAATTATTCAGATGTTGTACCTTTAGTGAATAATCAACATCTTAAGTAGCGGCATGGGTCTTAAATATTTTTTTGAAAGTTTCTGTGTCATTTGGTGGTTTCTCAACAAAGTTGCTGTTGCTGCTTGCCTTTTGTACACTAATCTTTGCCTGGACATCCCCAGCAGTATTATAAAAATGCAGTGATAACTCTTGTTGTTAATGATAATTCTAGGCACAGAGAGGTTGCATATATGTTGGAGGTCACTAAGAAAATTCCTTGAGGAAGGAAGGAAGAAAATTAGTTGGAGTGATAAACTTATATTTCAGTATTTGTGTGTAATACTTGTGTGAAATATGCTCGTGAATTAAATAAGGAATTAAGTAGAAAATATATGAAAAGGGGTTAATGGAGTCACCTGAACTTTTAACATGTGTTACAGAAAATATTCCAAGTTTTCAATCTTTGTTTATGGTAAGTAAGAGTTACTCATCTTTGTTTCCTCCTTAATTCATAAGATCTATTGGCGGTACAGTAAAATTCTCAATCACACTAACTATACTAGTTCTAGCCTATGGTTGCATTACAGCAGGATTCCTATTATTGTGTTTATAGAGCTTTTATTGCTATGTTATACAATACACACCAAAGTTTACTTACTTTCCTTATGGTTGTTGCACTATGCTGTACCTGCAGACAAATGTAATTTATCAGTAGACATACATCATGTGTCTAGGGAGTGGAAGCACTTCAGAAAAGAGACTTGCTTTACACATACTCTGCAAGTTAAGAAAAACTTTTCTATCTTTTTCTGATGATCCTAGCTATAAAAAAAATGATCAAACTTATTTTACAGTCTATGTGTTCTAAATATTTTACATTTTGACACTTACTGCTAAAGAGTTAACTGAATATTGATTAGAAAGTGTTGATGCAATAGTGAAAATCCATTTATTTTAGAGCAGTGAGAGCATTAGAGTGAAATTGAAAGGCATTCCATTTTGAAACTTAACTGTTCTGTAGATATTTCACAAAAGTATGTGATAAATATTTTATATGTAACTTCTAGTGTTTGTAAGGCAATTGACAGAAAAATAAATGAAAATAGGAAGCTCATTATCTACAATAAAATTATTTGAATGCAATTGTTTAACGGAGGTCATTGTTGTTCTTTTTCTTAATTTCTCTTTATTGCTTGTTTTGCACAGGAAGGAGTTACAGGAGCTGCAGAATCTTTACAGGCAAAACATTGAACATACAGCACAGCAAGCTGAGTTGATAAAGCAGCTTCAGGTTCTCAATACTGATACACAAAAAGTACTGAAAGACCAAGAAGATGCTCACACAGCTGAAACAACATCGTATCAAAAAGTATGTCATTCTGCTTTATGATCACAGGGTTCATTTTAATATCCATCTGTACAATGTCAATAGACAGAGTAATCAAAGCAGGGTGTAGTGTTGCATCCTTTAGATCTCTGGATCTTTATTGTGACCAAAATATGGTGGGCAGATTAGCAGAGTTTATTGACCTAATTACATCCCAGCATATATGCCCCTTGCTTACATTGAATTGATGAGCCTTAAATATTAAGATTTAATTGCATCTGGAGGAAAACAGAGGTGAATTGCCAAGCATATAAATTTCTTTACGCAGATTTGTGTTATCTATGTTTTTCTTCTCCTTCCTCTCCTAGAGCTTTCAATTACTAAATTCTCCAATTTGTTTTTGATAATTTAAGAGAAGAAATTCCTTTCACTTGTAAATAATGTATTTGTGTGAATCTCTAACAATTTTACTGGTTTAATATGCAAAAACCTGCTCTATCAAAATTAACCAGAAAAATTGTTGCCATAATAGCTTTCTAAAGGGATAACTAATTCAAAATTTTTAAACTATATTTACGTTGACAGAACAGATTCATATTTTTGATGCATGCCAGCATAAACGCTAACCCTGAAGAGCTGTCACATGTACACTACTCAGAGCTTTTCCTTTTGAGTGTAAAAAATTATATTGATGTGTTTTTCAGTTTGTAAGATTTACAGAAGGTATGTTGCCTTCCTTTTTAGAAACATTGAGAAGGAAGAAGACCAGGAAGAAGTTGTATATACAACTTTCACACACCTTTTACCAATCTTGGAACTGCTTTCTCAAATTGTGTACTGTCGGTGCATTTTCAAAAAACGGGTGTTTCCCCTTATCATCCTACTTAGAGAGCATGCAGTTTGTGATAAAATTGTGAAGCTAGGCCAAAGTCAAGCCAGGATCAGTACTGGGTTTCTAAAGATGTGTTTGATTAACATTTTATGGCATATAGTGTACACATTCTTGTGTACTTAACCCTGCACAAGTTTATCATTACTGCAGTGATGACTGACATTAAGTCTTTTATTCACTACAGTAGTAGCCCAGTGCCCAGTCAAGCTACAGGTAGACTTCCATCAAAATTGTTCAGAACATGTACAAGCCAGGATGAATTTTACCTATCTGGGGCAACATAAAGTAAATTATAGATTTTTATTTTATTTTTTTTAATACAGAATGTAGGTATCAAGAGTTGCTATTTCTTTCATTTTTCATTCTCTACCCAATGCTTCCATAGGTGTTAAATGGATCCTTTGAGTCACTCAAAAAATAAAGTAATGGCACAAGTGAAGAGAATATGAACTCTCTTCATCAGTCTCTTCATACATAAGACTGTATTCTTCCAGACTAGTTCTGCAACATGTGAAAGAAGATAAAACTGATTCTTCATGAGACCATTTTAAAGCATGACAAAACTCTTTATGAAAGTCACATTAAAACCCAGTCCTATGAAAAATAATTTTGCTATTCTATGTTACTTATGTATTATGGAAAATTTATAGGTATGTTTATATAGCTATAGGGGCAAGCCGCTTCTAAACTGGGCTTAGCTCAAAATTCATGTTTGCTTCAGATAGCTGGTTCACAGTTCTTGGTCTGTCTTAGAAGGACTTAAGACTTTTGCTTAGCTGATCATGCAACAAGAACAAGAATACTGTGGTTTTGAAGATAAGCCCTTTATACTTCAACTCACAGATGACCCTAAAATTTGATGGTTTTGGAGGCGTTGAGTTCTATATTTTTCTAGCAGGGAAAAGTAAGGTTTGCCTTTTTAACCAGAAATAGCAAACTCCGTTATTCTGACAAATTACTATTGTGAAACTGTCTTTTTGTAAAGTATCAAAATATCTAATGCACCTGGAAAAAAATATGTTCTTTTTGTTTTTTATACAAATATGTTAAAAAAAAAAAGTTAAGTTCTCTAAGTCAGCATGGAATAGATCTGATAAAGTTTCTGGCAAATTGAGTTGAGAGAACTTCAGAGGGGAGAAGGAGTTCCTGTATCATGACAATCCTGTTCTGTACTTCTGATCAGAACTGTATAAAATACCCAACTCTAATTGCTTCAAAGTATCAAGCTCCAAATCACGAGATACACAGTCCCACTGAAGTCACAGCAGGCCTTTAGAAAACTCAGCATTTGTAAAAATAAGACAAATACCTATTTTTCCCTTGAATAAGAAAGGCAAACTATTGGAGACCAATGTGTGTTCTATTTGTCTTCCATGCATTAATAATATGCAGGCTGCAACAGCTAGATAAGGACGTGTCAGCTATTCCATAAATGTATTCACAAAGGAATATTTTCCTACTGCTCTGAATGGCATTGAGCCTATCACTGTGTACATCCTATGATATATTGTCCCTTACAGCAAGATCAATGACCTCTCTGGTAGTGGTCAGATAGGCAGTATATGCTATAGCTCAGGCAATGTGGTTGGCTCACATATTGAAAGTACCGCTTAACGGTCTACTGTTTAGGAAGAACCTCTCCTTGTGCTGATGTTAATGTGTAGTACAAAACAGTAGACTGAATAGAAAAAACATTTCTGGTAAACCAGATCAAGGTCATGAACTGGCACTGGATTATGTGTAAATCCGCTGAGGACCACAAATTCTCTTCCAAGTCTAGCTGTAGTGGACAGCATACACATGTGAAAGTGTGTAATCTGTTTTATAAACTTGTGTTGACTTGACATAGTACTACCTTTTATTTTTTTTCTTTAAATACAAATTTTATGGGTGCTGTGTTCTACAATAACTCCCTTATGCTAGAGCATTTGTGGAAACAAGTTAATATCTCTCTCATATTACAGCTGTAGTTCTTATTCTCAAGGATAGGGAATATTTTTGTAGAATGTATAGCATCTGTTTTAGTGGCCTCAAATACTCTGGGGACTTCATTCTTGTGCTGGATTTAATGAGACTCAATAGATTTGTCCTCACCAACAATTTCAAGGTGGAGAGACTTCAATCAATACTAGGGATAATAAGACAAGAAGAGATTCTGAACTCCTTAGCCAGCTTATCACAGTTTTCTGAAATTTACAATTTAGGGCCTTTGTTTTTATAATGCAGTACTTTCCCTTGATCTGATGTAGCCTTTAGGTTCCTTGTTAATCACACTGATTAAAAATCTCTTGGTGGAAGGCCCTTCTAGTGAAGTGGAAATTTATTTGTCATTAAGTAGGAAATCATAATTTGTGTCCTGGAACTCATCTCTCAAATAGAGAATACTGTGGATAGTGGTACAGTACTTGTCTGTGATGAAGAAAAGCATTGCTCAGTAGTTAGATTTTCAGCATGAGAAAACACAGTAAGAGTTTTCAACTAAGAGGCATTGCAGAAGCCTGCATCAAGTGCAACAGAAAGTAGATAAAAATAGGATAGTGTCAGATACCTTTTCTTGTGGTTAATTTTGTGCCTGCAGTTGCTTTTGCCAGTCCTCCTGGTGTCATTGTGTGGAGATAGTTTGCTTTCCTTCAAGCCTGAGAAATTGTAATCAGAGTGTCAAGTTACTGTTTCTTTTTACCACATTTTACCACTTCTGGTCTTTTTCTGCTACAACCTTTAAGCACGGTTAAAAATCACATAAATGTGTTTCTTTTTATGTAAGCAGCATTAAATTGAAAAATTCACAAAATAAAAACTATGACCATAGAGATATGTAAATGGTAGTAACAATGCAGGTTCTCCCTCAAAATGGAATGAAAAACCTAAGTTCTTTCACACATGATAAGAGCTGAGAGAAACTAACTGTCCAGTCAAATATGCTGAAGCCTACATTAGTAGTATGTGAATCATGGTTTTTGTAGTCCACTTTGTCTGTGAAAAACTCAGATTTTTAACAAAGATTATCTCACACTTTAGTTCAAGTTCTGATACTGTTTTCTATTGTTTCTATGTGTCAGGGTGACACTAAGCACACCTACTATTCTAATGAAGCTTTCTGTTTTAAGTAACTGTTCAAAGATCTAGCAAAAAGTGCTTTCTGGTAAAATCAGTTAAATCAATATTGGAAATTGGTAGGGTAGCTGAGATATATGGGATACTTTTTTTGTTGTAATTCAGCTAAGTTACTCTTCCTTCCTGACTGATAAATAATGCTCTTGTGTCATATAGACTAAATTTATTACAGTGCGCTGATTTCAGATACTTTTAATCTTTTTTTATTTGTTTTTAAGTATCTTCACCTGTGATGGTCTCTATTGCCTGTCAGAGAAAGGACAGCTCTAAGGCATTACAAAGAGATTCTCAAAATACAGTCAGTGCAACAGTTTTTGCAGAGTACAGTCTTGTGTGTCTGGCTGTTGCCTTTTTTTTTCCAGCTACCAAGTGTCATAAAATGTATAAGAAATGTTTTAAAATATTTTCCTTTTTCTTTCTAGCTTTTAAACATAAATATTTTTTGTCTTTTTTAGGGAATTAAACAATTTCCTGGGTAAATCTCATGTCTGATTGACATTCATGTGAAGTATAACCACTCACGTACAGTCAAGATTCACTCCTCTTTTCTGTGATGCTTGCTAGTTGTGAGATAAATAATTTACAATAATTTTGTCTTTCTTTTGGATTTTCTACTTCATGTTCCACTCTAGTCCTCTGATCTCCATTTTACGTCTTGTCTGTCTACACCTGATTTTCAGTATCTTTATTAATGGTAGATCTGTTTCACCGTGTTGCACAGTTCTGTATGTTCTGGAATGTGTTTACTGTGATGTGATTAAATGTGGTGCCTCTTCTAAAACAGGGTCAGAAATGAGCAGAAAACCCCCCCAAAAAAACCCAAATAATCCCATATAAACATTAAGCAGGTATTTAATTCACAAAACGGCCGTAAATGAAATCTGGAAGCTGTTCTGCTTATCTGTGGACAGTAGATAAAACTGTTTCTTTTCATATGGATAATTTTCATTTTGAAATTTCCAGGTGTTAAATACCTTTGAAAAAAAAAAGGATCTGACTCCTATAAACTAGTGCATTGGTGGTGTTAAAAAAATATATAAACTTTGGTGAAAAAAGATGAATGATGTGAATGTGTTTTTTTGCACATAGCTTTTAGATAGTTTTACACTTGAAAAATATGTGTTTTGTTATTGCTGTTTTCAAAACAGGAAAGGTTGGAAAAGTTTATGCAAGTAAAAAGACATGCCATTTGTCTTGTCCTGACAAATGCTGACTACGAAAAATACCCATTAGCTACATTAGGGGATGTGGCTGCCAGTGAGAAAAAAACATCATATTTTTGATGTTCTCCATTCATCTTACTAGGATGTTACCTTTCAGATACTATAATTACAACCACTTAAGTGCTGCTAGTCATAAAACCAGTAAATTGTCATACCAGTATGATCTAGCTAATGAGCTTATGTAACTGGAAGTGAATGAGCTGGAAGAAGAATGAGCTGGAAATAACTGTCTTGTATGTTCCATTCATTTTGAGGGACATTCTAAAAAAATACACGTTTTTGATAAATGAACTGTTTATTTTCCTGTGAGATACTGATTTCCATAAGAAATTGGCTAATCTTGAACGTGGCTAATCTTGAACTTGCATTTCTAGACATGATGTAAGCTTTCTTAAATATTTAAGAAAGATTCAGTAGGCACAGAAATTTCAATGCAAAAGTTTAATTTTTAAGACTCAGAGTCATTTGAAATATCAGTCTATTTGGACTTTGAATTCATTTTGCCTAATGACATGATCTCTCATCTGCTTTGGAAATAGGTAGGAAGTTACTTTGATCTGAGTGGATTTTGAGAGCCCATGGGAGTAGAAGATGACAGGAAGAAAGAAATGCAGGGAAATTTTTGTTTCCAAATTCCTTAGCAAGTGTTAGGTAGACCATTTCCAAGTGTAAAAGTTGTGGTTTTCTTCAAAGGCTTTAACTTATAAGCAATGTAAGGAGATGAAAAGGAGAAAGAAGTGTATCATTTGAGTGAAGCTGACAAGACAGGGGTATGAAATGAAGAGTAAAATAAAGTTTTCACAAGTAAAATGACTTTTATCAGTTCCTTGTACTCATAAACTTTAGTGATAGCTTTGGAAATTCTGATTTTGATATTTAATTAGTTTCTTTTGGAGGGAATGGGAGAAATGGATTCTCCAAAGAAAACTGTCAACTGTGGATATACATGCCTTCTACAGATTTTTTTATGGTTGAAGAAATAGTCAGAGGGAATATTGTGTATTCTGAAAAAAAAAAAGACAGTCAAAGGAATGAAGGACTGAAATGGAGAGAGGAATGTATGCTTAGGTAGTAAAGCTGTAGAGTTATGTATTTCTTTCAGAATCTGTTGTTTATTCAAGTACAGGTTTATTTTTCAAACTTTTTTTTTAATAGAAAGCTGATTTTGTTTTAAACCGTTTGCAGATGTTTCTATGGAAAAAGAAGGGTAAAATAGAGGGATGAGGTGATTGTTAAGTTTTCTTATTCTTGCTAAAGAATATTACTTCGATGTAGTTCTAGAAAATCTTTGTGTGTATGGAATATCTTCTAAAGTGATTGCAGAATATATACAATGTTCTGGTTTCAGCAAGAACAGCTGAGCAACAGCCAGGGATAAGAACTTCTAATATCATCTCTGGGTTTTATAGTTAATGTCAAAAAAATTCCCACAGAATAATTCTTTAAACAACCATTTTAGACTTCATGCAAAATGCAATAGGCATTTGTGAATTCACTGTATTGCTATCTAAGCTATATTAAAAATGTTAGTTTTAAAAGATCAAGCTACTCCATAAAAGACAAGGATAATCTTTGGTATTCTTGCTCCTTTAATTTTATTCCCAGGACAGATGTTTCAATTTTTTGCCTATTCTCAATAAGGGATGGATTTTTTCTTTTGCATTTTCTGTATTTTATATAAACTGTTGAAGAAGTTAAATAAATCCTGATTTTTAGGTGTCCCTTTTTATTCATAAATGCCATAAAGAAGCAACTGAAACTGATAATATTCTAACGTACGTTGTGTTTTTCTGGAAAAAACTTCTTTCAAACTTAAAGTTTTGGTGATTGTTACAATCACTATTTTCAAATGTATAGTGCGTGGCAGGAGGCAGGAGGACAAGAAGTGTGAACGAATTGTCAAAACGTCAAAAAGAGAGGGTGATCTTTGTGGACAAGTTACTGAAATTACACTTTCTCTCCTTCTATATCTGTATGTCTATCTGCATTGAAGTTATTTTTAATCCTGTTATTTCTCTTCTCCCCTCTCATAGCTTTATAATGAATTGACTTCATGTTTTGAAGCTGTTAAAACAAGTGAAATTCAACTGCAGCGAACCTGTGCCTCCCTTCAGGATCAGTTACTTGGAAAAGATCAAAAGATTGGTCAGTTACAAGAACAACTTCAGCAGGCTCATGATGCTTTAAATCAGGATTCTTCTCCAAAATGCGAAGTACAAGTGAGTCCGCTTCTAGAATAATAAAAATTGTTTCCTCTTGTTTTAAATAAAGCTTCTGTACCAGACAGTTGTAAAGGAAATTGCAGGTTTGTTGGTTTTTTTTAAGAAAAAAGCAGTTATGCTGCTGCAGTAGTGTAACTATTTCTGCTATTGCTAATAGAAGGTTCACAATTAAATCTGTCCTGGGAAAAAATGTAAGTAATGGGGTCCGTATTCAACACGACACTTGTTTATATTCTCTTACAAAGAGACCAAAAATAAAAATATAACCAAAGTGATTTTGTTCCTGGAAACAAATTCCTAGAAGAATCTGTGAAGTTTCTGCATTTCCTCTGTGAAAATGCAATGTATTGGTCCTGATTGGTTTCATTATTCCTGACCATGCAATTAAACTTTAGATCATAGATCTAAAGAAAGTATTAGGGTGGCGAGAAATATTTGCCTCAAAATTTCTAAGCCTTAATGTGCCATTTGGAACCATTATAATAAATCCAGCACTCTCACTAACCAACCTCCAACTTTACAAGTGTGCCAGATCTTACATGTATACCCCTGACATTTTCTGAAGGCCAATTTATGACTTAAAGTGAGTTTGAAAGGCTTTGAAACTGTCTACCCACAATGGTTTTGTAAACTCTGTTGCTTAGTTTCTTCCTTAGATTTGTCAATGAGATGTACTTACAAGCAGAGAAGGGAAAATAGTTAAGGTGATTATGCTTGTTAAATCAAAACTTCACTTAGCGTGGGTGGGTAAGGTAGATCTGTAATCAAGGATTATATTCATGAGCCCAAAGGAGTTGGAATATTAAAAAATCATTGTGTCTGATTCCTCAAAACAGAAAAATCACAGAATGCAGTATTTCCTGGATGTGTTCATGATGATTGTTCCAGAGGTCTAACTTTATCCATAGTATACTTAAGTGTTTATCATAAGATTCTTAACCCATATTTTGTGTGATTTTTAAGGTTCCCCTTAATCTAACAATTTGATAGTTTTGTTTCACAAATTATTAAACACATTCTTTTAAGTCTTTCTTGTGGAGGGCTGTCCTCTTGATACATTCTTGACCTTTTTCTGAATCTTAGAAATAATTGGGTGTTTTTCTTTTAAAAGATTTTAGTGGATTTTTTGAAATGTTATGAATATAAAATTAGTCTCAAGCTGTTTCTCCTCTAAACACAGCTTTGGATCATGGTTTTTGAATACTCAGACTGTATTTCTGAATACATCATTCTGCTTTCATCATCTTGTATCGCTCTGAAGAGTTTTTTGTGGTTTATTTTGTCAGACTATTTAATTTTTTTTATCATAAAAGCTTTTATTATATCTGTTGATTATATTTCCTGAGATTAAGGAGGCCTTTGTTGTCTTTGTGAAGTGACGTTAAAATGCTTTTCTCCATGTACAATAGCTATATTGTCTAACGTAGATATTGTGTGACAGTTTATTATACAGTCGCACTGTATCCCATGTGGACCTGATGTAAATAGTTGGCATTGGCTTTTGGTTTTGTTATCCTGAATAGCTTCGTAGTATTAGAAAATTTTGTTATTACAGTACCCTCTTACCTTTCTTTTTTTTTTGAACATGTGGGACACCACAGGTGACTCTTTCCAAAAGAGTAAACTGAGCATTAATTGCTATTACTTATTTCTCATAGCTAAAGCAATTCTTTATATGTAGGATTTTTTTTCTCCCCTTAAAATAAAGCGGTTGGGTTTCTTTAGGAGCTCCTAGTGTGGAGCTTTGCTGAAATCCATTTCAAATCCAAGTAGACAGTTTCACTTGGATCAATTTTTTTTTTTTTACTTCTTAAAAGAACTTTAGGAAATTTCTGACATTAAAAGTAAGACTATTTCAGAAGCTAGTGGCAACCTACAATTGGTGATTCAACTTTACACTTGATTTCCTTTGGATGTTTTAAATTAATCACATCCAGTGTGGGTGAATTGTTACTATTTCTTTTGTTGATTTATCCCATGTCTTCTTCTAGTGGTGTCTGAACTTCAACTACATTAACCGGTATGGTCCATGTAAGCTAAGAATCAAATGTGAAGCAGTCCTAAATTACTTAGTGGTGAACATGGGTGCAAATAATTATTCAAAAGAGTGTACTTGTCATGATGATTCGGAGAATTTGCTGTTTGGTTAGTGAATGTAAGTTCAGTCTCACCTTCTGCAGAAGTACATGAATTGAACAGTATGTGATCTGTCCTGAGCTCAGTCAGGTACTTATCAATGCTAGTGGAGAAGACATGGTGGGAAGCAAAAGCAGACAACTTATGATAATGAATGTAATATAGTAACCTAATGCAGTGTATGAACCTTCATTTTTCAGTAAATTAGTCTTAAACCTGGCTCTGACTGGACAAATGATTAGTGTTACTGAAGCAGCTTCAGGGAAGGAAATGTGTATAGTCCATAGTTGCTAGGCTTGTAGGAGAACCAGGTTGTTAAGCAGTATGTGCCTATGTACTTAATATTTCCCTTGACTGACGTTCTTCCATTCTGCTTTAGCAAATATCCCACATTTTGTTGACATGCAGTCTTTCTCTAGTTGAAACACCAGAGTATGCCTTTTGGGAATGTATCATAATGCTCGTTGTTGGCTGTGTTTTGATGACAGCCAAATTTCCCATGTTACCCAGTTTGTCAGGCATGACTTGCCCATGCTGAAGCCATGTCACTGATCACCTCCTTATTTTCCATGTGCCTTAGCAGAGTTTCCAGGAGGATGTGCTCCACGATCTTGACAGGCATGGAGGCAAGACTCACTGGCCTGTAGTTCTCTGGGTCTTCCTTTTTTCTCTTTTTGGAAATGGGGGTTACATTTCCCCTTCTGCAGTCAGTGGGAACTTCACCAGACTGCCATGATTTTCGAATATAAGGGAAAGCAGCTTAGCAAATTTGTCTGCCAGTTCCCTTAGAACCCACGGATGGATTTCATCAGGTCCCGTGGACTTGTGTACCTTCAGGTTCCTTAGATGGTCTTGTACTTGACCTTCACCTACAGTGGGCGGTTCTTCATTCTCACAGTCACTGCCTTTGCCTTCTGCGACTTGGGCCGTGTGGTTAGAGCCCTTGCTGGTGAAGACTGAGGCAAAAAAGTCATTGAGTGTGTCAGCCTTGTCCGTGTCCTGGGTGACCAGCTCTCCTATTACCTTCCAGAGAGGCGCCACATCTTCCCTAGTCTTCCCTTTTATCACTGGCATAGTTACAGAAGTTTTTCTTGTTGCCCTTGATGTCCCTGGCCAGATTTAATTCTATCTGGGCTTGAGCTTTCCTAACCTGATCCCTGGTTGGTTGGACAGTTTCTCTGTATTCCTCCGAGGCTACCCATCCTTGCATCCACCCTCTCTAGGTCTCTTTGTTGCTTCTGAGTGTCTCCAAGAGCTCCTTGTTCACCCATGCAGGCCTCCTGGATTTTTTGCCTGACTTCTTCGTTGTTGGGATACATTGCTCCTGAGCTTAAGTGATAATAGTGTTTCTGCTGTAAAGTACTGATTTCTTGAGCATGTTCAGATTCATGCCTTGCTGAAAGTCCACCCTGTGGGACATGCTAACAGTATGTTGACAGCAGTAATGTATCTTCTTCAGACTTTCACTAGCCAGGAAGATTATACATCGGTGTTGCATATGTTAGCATATGCTTGTTCCGGGATTTGAGCTTTTCTTGCTGTTGAAATCACACTGTAGTCAGGCAAAACTAAGTTTTATATTATTGGCTTTATTAGCAAAAATACATCAGTTTTCTTTCATTAAGGGTAAATATGCCTTTTTAAAGTGTTGTAATCTTTTTCTAGTCAGTGACACCTGTGTTGTTGAGGGCAAACTTTTGGTTGATTTTATTTTGACTATTCTAGTAATGAGTGTGATGAAGAATTTGAATTTGCTTTATGTTATATTTCTATATACATCTTAGTATGTGTGCATTCAGCAGCTCTCACATACCTTTTCTCTGATCAGAGAGATTATGCATCTTTGAATTTGGAAGCCTTTTTAGTTAGATCTATGATCATGCCACGCAGTAAAAAAAGAAGAGAACAAAAACATTTTAAATAGTTTTCAAAACATAAGCCTGTGGGGTTTGATTAATTTCATGTCATGTAATTGCTGTTTTGGTTCTGTTTCATTATTGGTGTTCATTTTTAGCTCTGAGAGTTATACCATACATTTAGTCATAGGGTTAGTATACAATAACTATTACCCATGTGCATAGTAAATATTTCAATATGTTTACTGAACAGAAGCACTCGTTTCTGTCTTGACTCCTACTTTTCCTATGTGTGCAGACATCAAAGACAGTGTTAAGAGATGATACTTGATGAAAAAACAGTAATTAACAGACATTAAAATGTTTTTGTAACTGTAGCATCTGACAGGTATGTGCATTCTAACACAGAATTCAATCGCACTTTTATAATAGTATCCTCATTTCTCATTATGAAGTTTTTAAAAGAAGTCAGAGTAAGACTCTGATGTTCATTACATGGTGTAATGATGTGATGACTCTGATGGTGATTTTTAACTAAAATAAAAATTTGAGTTTAGAAAGATTTATGTGAGAAATAAATAAATAAAGTGTTTCAAGAAAAATGGCATCCATTATTGCCATGCAAAAATTCTTCAGATCTTCTTATTAGAGTGTGACTTACTGGTTTTCTAAAATCAGTTTTTTAGCTATTTCAGTTTATGAGGCTTATCACAGAATCACAGAATTTTCAGAGTTGGAAGGGACCTCTAGAGATCATCTAGTCCAACTCCCCTGCTAAAGCAGGATTGCCCAGAGCACATTGCTCAGGACTGCATCCAGGCGGGTCTGGAAAATCTCCAGAGAAGGGCACTCCACAACCTCCCTGGGCAGCCTGTGCCAGTGCTCTGTCACCCGAACCGTAAAGAAGTTTTTCTGTGTATTTGAACGGAACTTCCTATGTTCCAACTTGTGCCCATTGCGCCTCATCCTGTCACTGGGAACCACCGAGAAGACTGTGGCTCCATC